TTATAGCCCGTAGTCATAGAGAAGTTCTGAAAAAGGTTTAACGTTGAACTAATTAAAGTACTCATATTTCTTTAACTGCTGAGTAAATTTTTTCTCTTCGTATGAATAGCTCTGTTCTCCATCTTAACAAAAAGCTGTTTCTAAGATGTCTATGATTGACACAACTTAAAAATCTATTCTAAACTTAAAACTTTATATTCACGATAATGAGTTTTTACTTACGACTATGACTATGTGCCAATGTGATTTATTTCTAAAATGAGCGTTGAAACAAGTGTATGCTCACTAGGGTGGTCCAAAAATGTATGGGAGAAAAGTAAAATCGGAAATTTAATGCTCTCACCCCCTAGGATTGTTCTATACCGAAAAAAATATACCCCTGTTTTTTTATTTTAAAATCAAAATATATTTAGAGGTCGCTCAAAGCGCTCAAAGTTTCCCATGTATTTTGTATGGGGAAAAAAAGACTTTTCGTAGAAATGGCATAGAATCCATGGAAATCAAAATTTTTCAATCTGAAAACTCTGCATCTCTTCAGAAGACTTCAGAGAATAATGCCCAATTGTTTATTTAAACGTTTTTTTAATTTAAACTATTTTTTCTTTTTTTCTTTTGTATATTTCTGTTTGTATATTTGATTTTTTTGGGATATTTCGGAGACCCTTAAAAAATAGTTAAAATTAAAAAATGTTTAAATAAACAATTGGACATTATTCTCTGAAGTCTTCTGAAGAGAAGCAGAGTTTTCAGATTGAAAAATTTTGATTTCCATGGATTCTATGCCATTTCTACGAAAAGCCTTTTTTCCCCATACAAAATACATGGGAAACTTTGAGCGTTTTGAGCGACCTCTAAATATATTTTGATTTTAAAATAAAAAAAACAGGGGTATATTTTTTTCGGTATAGAACAATCCTAGGGGGTGAGAGCATTAAATTTCCGACTTTACTTTTTTTTGGACCACCCTAATGCTCACCAAACTCTTCGATCAAAAGATCATGCAACGATGTTCAATCATTTGGTCGCTTCCGCCTTACTACATTTACGGCAGGTCTTTTTAGCGTAGTAAATATTAAATTGAGGAAAAACCGCTGATCTTCAGGAGATTGAGCTCCAGATATTATTTTGTCGATGCTGCACACAAATAGTGCAAGGGACTTGACTGACATCACCATTAAAAAGTGTTATTAATTTAATATTTTGCAAAGCAAATTCTATTCGTCGTATTTAAAACGTCCAACTGCTCTTCAAAATGCATTCAGGAACCAGAATGAAAGATATTTGATTATGGGAAATATTCCTGCTCGAAATCTTTGAATCGCGGACTAGGAAGTTTAAGTTTCCTATCTGCGCCAATAAAATACTAAAGATTTGTATTTGGTTGTTTCTTAAAATTTATTTACAGGTTCAACAATTTTCACAAATCTTAAAAGTAATATTTTCAGTTTGAAATATTTTCCCAAATGAATACAAAAAATGAAGTTGTGTATATTATTGAAATAATCATAAAAGCTTTTTAGATAACAAGAAATTCATCACATCTTAAGACGGTAGAAATAGTATTCCCACGACAGCCGGTTCTACGTACCGGAATGACTCGGGTTTTACCCGACCAAGGGCTGTTGTTTCGGCGACCTAGCCCCGTTTAGGTCGGCGAAGTATCTCAGAAGTTGTTCGTCCATAGGGCTACATTCGCTCCGTTTTCTTCTACTCAAGGCTGGCATCGAGTCAAAACCTACACCTGCTGTATATGCCAGAGACGACTACACCACAACTTCATCTCGGTCAAGTGCAATGCTTGCGAGGGGTGGAGTCACCTCAGAGTTTGCTCAGGACTACGGACATATCGGCAGTGGACCACGTCGTTTGTGGCCTCCTGCCGCTCAAACTGAGCAGCCTCCACGGCTAACCCCAGTCCACCTGAGCAGTCCCACACAAACACCACAGCACAACAACATAACACAATAGACTACACCACAACCGCGACAGACCACAGAACACACACAACCGCACCACCACCCACACGCCGCCGCCAACAACTCTTGGTTCCTCCTATAATCTGCACGGTATGTCAGACCAGGATATTCCGTAATGTGACATCAGTCAAGTGCAACACCTGCCTTGGCTGGTGCCACTTTAGGGCATGTTCAGGTCTGCGCACCACGCGAGACTGGACGAGGAACTTCGAGGGCCCGTGTTGCGCTGCACGGTCGCAAACCTCAACCGCGACGCCACCTACCACCACCACAGGGCGGCAACCACCTCAGCAGCGCCCACAGCCAATGGCGACACGACCACACACATCTCTCACACCCCGCATCACCACACGTCTCCCGAACCACATGAAGCTCCNTGGTGAACGTAAGTTCCGCAGGGCTGTCACCGCTTCTTCAGCTCGCTTCGTACCTGCAGGATGCATCACTGACCCACGTCCAAACTTCCCTGCCGAAGCGGCTGTTCTAGTCGATGAGCGTGACAGCCTTCGNCAGGAGATAACCGTCTTTATGGGAGGGCATGGTATACTGATAGCTGCGGTCCAAGAGACGAAGTTACACAGCAATTCAACATTGTTGAATTGTGCCGGGTACAACGTGCACCGTCCAGATCGCGAGCGAGATAATGGTGGTGGCTTAGCGTTCATCACGCACCACACCGTGCAGTATCGTCTTATCGAAGCAGACATCGACCGCAGGGATACCACCCTAGAATGTCAGGGCATTGCTATCCGGTCAGGCGATGTTGAGCTCGAAATATTGAACGTTTATATACCCCCTGTCACCTGCTGCCCAGCAGGATATCACCCTGACATAGGTGCGCTTCTCAGAGGTGAAAACCGAATGGTAGTAGGTGACTTTAATGCGCACCACGATCTTTGGCATTCAAGAATGTCAAAAGATCGTAGCGGAACAGATCTGCCCATAGTCATCCCGATCGATAAACCAACCGACTTTGCTTCCGCGGAGCATCGAACCTATATCAACTTCTCCAAAGCTGATTGGATAGGCTTCGCGGAATTTACTGCAAACACCTTCGCTGCTCTCCCCACACCAACCGACGTCCACCTTGGTGAACGTAAGTTCCGCAGGGCTGTCACCGCTTCTTCAGCTCGCTTCGTACCTGCAGGATGCATCACTGACCCACGTCCAAACTTCCCTGCCGAAGCGGCTGTTCTAGTCGATGAGCGTGACAGCCTTCGTCACGCCGATCCCGGAGATCCCCGTATCAGGGATCTCAACGCGGAGATTCGGCAACTAGTGAACGTACATAAGCGGACGAAGTGGGAAGAACATCTGAAGACCTGTAACTTCACCTCTGGTGTGAGTAAGCTTTGGTCGACCGTGAGGTCACTGTCCAACCCGATGAAGCACGACGACAGAGTCGAAATTTCTTTCGGCGACCATGCCTCGTCGGACCCGGAGCGATGCGCGAGCTACTTTAGCCGGCAGTTCATACTGCATCCTCCGATGGACAAAACTAAGCGTCGAGTGACCAGAAGGCGTTAGTAGCGTTAGACCTGTCAAAGGCTTTCGACACTGTCAGCCATTCCACGCAACTAGAAGATTTAGATGCTTCCTCTCTCCCACAGAGGCTCAAACGGTGGTCGGCAAATTATCTGAGTGGTCGACACTCGTCGGTAATGTTTAGAGACAAAACGAGTAAGCATAGAAAAGTAAAACAGGGGGTTCCACAGGGTGGTGTCCTTTCCCCGCTACTGTTTAACTTTTATATTTCAAAGCTCCCTCAACCACCAGAGGGAGTCTCGATTGTCTCCTATGCCGACGATTGCTCGATCATGCGCCAATGATTGCTCGATCATGACCTGTGTTCGAAAGTAAACGGATAACTCTTCGATCTTTCTCGCTTCTTCACTGCAAAGTGTCTAGCCCTCTCCCCTACGAAATCCTCCGCGACCCTGTTCACAACCTGGACGAAGGAGGTCAGGCTACCGCTGGGGATTCACGTCGATGACACACCAATTCCGACGGTGAATAACCCCAATATACTCGAAGTAACTTTCGACAGCCTGCTCTCCTTCTCTGCGCACACGACCGCTATTGTCAACAAAGTACAGAACCGCAACAAAGTCCTCAAGTCGCTAGCCGGCAGTACTTGGGGCAAAGACAAAGAAACGTTGCTGGCAACATACAAGGCAATAGGCCGGCCGGTTTTAAACTACGCAGCACCAGTGTAGTCGCCGGGGACTAGTAGGACGCAGTGGATGAAGCTACAGACAGTACAAAACACAGCACACAGGACAGCAACCGGATGCCTCCTGATGTCACCAGAACACCAGCTCCATGACGAGGCGAAAATGCTCCCAATTAGGGAGCATAACACGATGCTCTGCAAGCAGTTTCTGGTTGGGAGCCACAGATGTGGCCACCCAAACAGACAGCTGCTTGCAGAGGAGCCCTCGCCAAGGCACGTCAGGAGGCATCTATATGAACTGACGGACGAAGTCCAGAGGTTCATTAAGCAGCCTCTGGACCAGTCAGCATACCGACAGGCCCTGAACGGCATTCACAGGGACCCAGTCTCGATTTATGTAGACTCTAGGCCAGTGAATGCCGTTCTAGGTACACAAACACCGGACAATGACGCGACGGAGCTCCATCTGCCTCGGGAGACTAGAACAACAATAGCCCAACTTCGCTCTGGCTACCGCAGCAGGCTAAACTCTTACCTGAGTAGGCTAAACGCGGATGTACCGAATGAATGCCCGGCATGCGGAGAGACCCCTCACGACTCGAAACATCTCTTCGCATGCCCGGAAAACCCTACAACCCTAACGGCGTCGTCCCTGTGGACCGACCCCATAGAGGCTTAACGCTTCTTGGGGCTGCCGTTAGTGGAACTCGCCGACAACGACTGAGATATCAACCGATCTGAGCGGGGTTGTTGTAGCCGCTACAACAACAACAGTAGAAATAGGACATAGTATATTATTTATGTACATATATATGTGTATAGTTTTCATGTGTTTTTTTGGTTTCTTACAGCCTCTGCATATTGAAGCTTTTATCAAACAACCTCGTCGGCGAAAACGAAGTACATCATTGGACTGCCAAGAAAGTGATCATGAAGTCCGTTGTTGTCGATATCCTTTAAAAGTAAATTTTACAAATTTTGGTTGGAACTTTGTTGTTGCACCAACTTCATTCGATGCATACTTTTGCAATGGAGAATGTAAAGTTGGATATCTGGAGCAGTATACTCACACACACATCGCATCACTAACCACATCAGCGACTCCTTGTTGCTCTCCCACCAAAATGAGTCCTCTGAGCTTACTTTATTTTGATCAAGATCACAATTTAGTGTTGAGCACCATTCCAAATATGTCGGTAGAGAAATGTAGCTGTTCATAATCAAAAAAAAATAAAATTATTGAAGAATTACCATATCTTAAAAGTACAGTGCTATCTCGGTAATCCGGACACGCTCTAGTCCGGGCTCATTTATAGTCGGGACACTGTTGATTTTCATACTGTCATTCATACCCTATATTCCGGACACTCCAGTAATCCGCACGACGGTAAGACTCAGGATGTCCGGATTACCGACATATCCCTTATGAGCTACCTTAATACATGTGCGCATAGATACATGTGTGTGAAAAATTTTGTATAGGTGGGGTGCTATAAAGCAAAATTTGCTTTATCTCATTTTTGGATGGGAAATAATACCAAAATCTGAGGTTTGCTTTATTTCCAACTAAGATTTACTGGCGGAAGCAAATACATACGTTAAAGTAGGTAGAATTTTACCTACTCTTCAGACTTCTAAATCTGAACATATGTATATTCGGTAAAAGCAGCTGGGTTGCAATAACATTATTCACAATAAAACCATAATGGCTATATTTCTTCGTTGCGATTGGAAATAAAACCACAATTTCGATATGGAATGGAGATAAAGCGATTATGGTTTTATTGCGTTTTTTGAAATTTCTGTTTAGAAATAATAGAAGCCTTTTTGCGCGAGAGAATATTTACAACAAAGGAACAAATTGTAAAGACATTTTCAAAATAAATATATGTACATTAAATTGGATTTTTATAAAAAGTAAAACTGCAGTATTAAAATTAATTTATAGATGACGTAGCCCTTGTAAATTATTGTGCCTAAGCGGTTAAGTTCTGCGGCTCTTATAATCTCCTCAAACATCAAAATAAAGAAATCACAGCAAAGGGAGTCACCTTTTCTGAAACCTCGATTGGTATCAAAAGGATTGGAGAGGTCATTTCTAAAGGGAGCTGGTGGTAAAATACAGCGACTGCGTTATAGATCACATGTTATACGTATGATGTCGAAAACATCGATAACGATGTTTAACTGGACGGTAGTGAGCCAAATTGGGGGTAAGTATGCACTGATAAAAGAGCAGTATGCATTATCAGCAAAGGTGCCGACGGTGATTCCTTTTGAAGTAGGGAGGTCATATGTGTAGACTAAATATAGGATGGGGTCCATATCGCTTCCTTATGGTACGCCTACTCAGCTTTCATGAAGTTTGGACTCTATATCCTATGTGACGAAAAAGTTGGGATTTTTAAGGTAGGGCTAAATAAATATATAGTCATTTATTGGAAGTGTAGTTTTGTTTTATAAAGTAATTCATCGTGCCAAACGCAGTACAAAAGTTCTGTTCGATGGATGCACTAAAAGTGTAGAACAGTGAAATGAAGAACACCATCTGACATTTAGAGCAGGCATACGTTTAATGCGAGAAAAAGCTTGATCGAACGTTTTTTTCTTACACTATTATTTAGAACTATTATTTACTCAACCTTAAGAAAGAAGAAAAAGAGATTGCTTTAGCAGATAATGAGGGAAGGGTCAAATTAAGAGAGGCAATAAGGGTATTCATCAAACCTTATAAATGCATTGTAAACAGTATAAACTTATAATTGTGTAAACCTTATGAATGAACTGTCAAAATTTGTATGGGAACTCGTTTACACATTTCTGATCAATATATCCAGCGATTTCACTGAATAAACTTCCCTGCCAGCCACGGCTAACCACTTTCCCCTAAAATTCAAACCATTCACCAACACATACCCAACTTTTTTGTCATCTCACCCACACACTCAAAAGTTGTCGAAAACAATTTCCATAAGTAAGAGCAGCGTAGCTAATAAGAATTCGCAATCTTATTAGAACTATATGCGTTAGAGCGAGCAAGTGAAAGTAAGGCGAAATTTGACAGCAAATTTCAAATTTGATCCTAGTAGGCTGCGAAGAAAATATCAATTTCGCGCGAAATTTTGGAGGTAAGAGGAATTTGTCAATTGTAGTTTTTCTTTTATAAAATATATATTTTATATATCCCAACATCAGGAGCGATCAAAACCCAACATCTGGAGCCATCAAAACCTTGAAGGTAAAAAAGACTTTAAAGTTTCCCAATGTAACACCGTTTGGCTGAGTTCCAGGTTGGTATATTGCAAAGCATTCGCCTTTTTTATTTCTAAATTAAATATAACTAATGAAAATGTCCAATATGCGCAACCATGATTAAATGCCGAATTGGAACTTAATTGCGCAAATTGGTCATTTCCATCACTTATAGTTTAGAAATAAAAGAGGCTGGTGCTTTGCAATATGCCAACTTCTGCCAGCGCAGGGCACTTGCTTATGGAGTTCTGCCGACGTTGGGCATGACTGGTTTAAATATTAAGAAACGCGGTTGCTCCAAGTGCAATGCAAATATGTATGTACTTTTGTATGTTAAAAGTGCAACTAGGTAGATATGTAAACAACAAAAAGTGTGGTGCAATAAATGTGAAAAGTGCAGTAGAATGTCTGTTTTCCTAAGCGCAACAATATAAAAATCAGTTTCTTTTAATTCCAATTAACAGCAAATTTACTTAATTTGTGCCAACTGAGTTTAATGTAAATTGTGTAAATTATCATTTCGCGGTTGTTCACTCAAGAATTGATGCGTTTTTAAAAACAGTAATTTTCGGTCATGAACAATATTTGCATCCGCTGCATTTGCATCAGTTGTTCTAGTTGCAAATACTGGCTAGGTACCTACGTTGTATATGCACATACATATGTGTGGAGATAGTTGCAACTGCATTAGTGTGTAGATATGTATGCAGTTAAACAAAATAAAGTGAAGTGCAAGTACATTTGTACAAAGCGCAGCTGCAACGACGTACATGTGTACATACATATGTAGGAAAAAAGAGGAAAGTGCAGTGGAAATATGTATATATATAACGCATTTTGGAAATCAGTTGTTCTCTCCGTTTAGGTACGATATGTGAAACATATGTAACTATGATTGACATGCATACGTTACAATATGTACAATATGTACAAAGTACAAAACCGCGTATCGTCGTTCTGCAAAACCGCGTAACTGCCAAAAATTGGATTAGATAACCATACTTAAAACTTTAAACGACGATATGTGGATTCACTTGGCCATAATAGACAGACGTTTCAATGAAAAGTGTTTATGTTTTTTTGGTTTTGTTGCGATTTAGTTTTTATTATATATGTATAATTTTTTATCAAATTTTGTTTTTATATTTTCTTTGCAGGTCGTGGAATACAAACAGTACAAGCCAGCGGAGATTATATATAAAAATTTTATCTGTTATTAATTTTATTATTATAGTATCTAATATAATAATAATATTATAATAATAGTATTATAATATAATTATTTATATTACTACTTTAATTGCTATTATTATCTTTATTAATAGAATTATTATTAGATCGTACCTTTTCTAACCTTGTAAGTAAGGAAAAAGCTTATTATAAAGCAACAGTTGCGAAGGTTCGCAAACTGAATGAAACTGATAGAAAGCGATGATATTCCATCCACGAGTAGAGAAGCATTTTGCCGCGGAATAAATAGTGGTCTAACGTCCAGCACTATGGAAGTGTTTCCTGAATTAGATACCGAATATAATAGCGATGATGACAGATAGCACAGAAGAATCTGCAAACAAAAACCTAAGCGAGGAAATTTGTAGGGGGTTAAAAACGTGGGCAATCAAAAATAATATTTCGCAAAATAGCCTAACGGACCTCCTACAAACCTTACATAATGCTGGACTTAACGGGTTACCTTTAACTGCAAGAACCATTTTGGGTACAAGTAGAAAAATAGTTCAAATTCGACCTTTTCCTGAAGGTGAATTTTTGTATTTAGGAATACAATATAATTTTAATTTCAAAGATTTTGATTTTTTAGAAAATACGGAAAGAATTTCAGTAGATGTCGGTATAGATGGTTTGAAATTATTTAAAAGCTCTAATAGGGCATTGTGGCCCATTTTGGGGCATGTAGAAGCTTTTCCTAATTCGGTCACATTTACTATTGCCTGCTTCTCAGGAATGAGTAAGCCATCCCATGTTAATAATTTCCTTGCTGAGTTTTGCGAAGAGATAAAAATTCTAAGTCAGAATGGTGTAAGGGTGGGATCTAAGCAGGTTTTAAAAGAATTTAGTGTAAGACTTTTTACATGTGACACACCAGCTCGCGCCTTTATAACTGGCGTGAAGTCACACACTGGGAAAAACAGCTGCCCTAAATGTCTTCAACAAGGACAGTATTTACAAAGAAGGGTCTGTTTTTCTCAAAACGTTGGTGAATTAAGAACAGATAGTTTGTTTAAAAATAGAGTAGATATAACACATCATTTAGACGAATTTAGACAGTGTGAAATCTTGCTAGAATCTGTAAATATTGGCATGGTTTCTCCATTTCCGTTAGAACCCATGCATTTAGTTGACTTAGGAGTAACTAAAAAACTACTCCAGTTGCTTATTAAAAGAGGGAACGTAACAAAGATGAATGAAAAAATATTGTTTCTGAATAAGTTCGTTCCCTCTGAATTTTCCAGACTCAGTCGAGATCTAAATGAAATGAGCAACTGGAAGTCGACAGAATACCGGCAATTTTTATTGTACTCGGGGTTGTTTGTTTTGAAAGACTGCATACCGAATAACTTGTATTACCATTTTCTTTTGTTGCATGTAGGTATTCGCATTCTCTCTTGTGAGAAGTCTTGTCAATTAGAATCTAATGTCGCTAATGAAATGTTAAAAGAATTTGTAAAGTTGTTTAGTAATTTTTATGGCGAACATTTAATCAGTTTCAATGTCCATGGTCTTTTGCATTTAAGTGATTGCGTTAAACAATTTGGTCCTTTAGACAATTTTTCTGCATATAAATTCGAAAATTATATGCAATATATAAAAAAAATTATTAATAATCCAAATAAAATATTGCAGCAACTATTTCTAAGAATAGAAGAACGAAGAGATATTACGGATTCTAGCAAAATTACACAAATAGATAAGTTTATTATAAATTGTAAAAAAGAAAAAGATAGTTTCTTCTTTAGTAAAAAAACGGGATCCCTAAAAATTGTCAACCCACAAACCCAAACAGACAGTTTTGGCGTTGTAGTTTGGACAAAGGTTGGGGACATTTTTAGGGAGCCCGTGGTGTCCTCATCTGATTTAGGTATTTTTGTAGCTCAAATTATAGATGAAGACATTCAAATTATTAAGAGAGAAGATATAGACCATAAGTATTTTGCTATTCCAGTAGGGAATAAATTTATTTTAATTCCTATGTTACATAACTTATTTTATAATTTTACTTAGGAAGAAATGGAATTCAGTTTTATAATTGATGGAGAGGAGGAGCCGGATATCAGTCAGGCTAATGGTAAGAAGAATCAGTATTCATTATATTAGTGAAACTCTCCTAATTGAAACGTTCTCATTGTAGCTGGAGTAACTCGCCGTTTCGACGTGTCCTTTTCTCGACCGTATGGCCTCCCAACCTGCCGTGGATAATGACTCAGGTACATTAAACTAGCAACATACATATGTTGATTGCATTTTTAATTTACACATAAATTTTATGAAATTCAACAGCGCAACAACAAATTTTGGCTGCCCTTGCAAGAGTGGAGACTCGGCAAGGAGAAATATTAAAAAGGCTTTCCGCCGTAGAAAACGCCCTTGCCGAGAAGGTAGGCTTTTTAAATTTAACAAATGTTTAAACTTTGTTTTACACTTTATTTTATTTTCAGATGCCCGAGCGTTGTGAAGTTCAAGCGCAGGGTCAACTGCTGCGTGAATGTAAGGTGCTCTCTGCGAAAACCCACCGCAGTGTAAGCCGAATCACCGGTGACTTGGTAAGTGAAGAGCAAACTTTATTGCAAAGTTTGCTACCAATGTCATCGGAGGAGACACTGCATAAGGTGGAGGAGCACCTTCAAAACAAGGCACACGCTGACGCTATGGTAAGTTACAGTTCTGCTCAACAACGAGTATAGTTTTTTCTTTTATCAAATATATATATGTATATATTTATATGTATAAACTCTAATACATTTAAAGGNGGAGGAAACACTGCATAAGGTGGAGGAGCACCTTCAAAACAAGGCACACGCTGACGCTATGGTAAGTTACAGTTCCGCTCAACGACGAGTATAGTTTTTTCTTTTATCAAATATATATATGTATAAACTCTAATACATTTAAAGGCGGGCATCATCATGCAGCTAAAAACATCCAGGGGAACAGTGGAGAAAGTGCTGCAGTCGTTATTCAGCGACGAGTTGGTGTGGCTGTACAACTTCGATGGAAAGGCAGGGAAAAAGCCACTAATTAAATTAAAAACTGTGGAGCTAGTTCTCGGTAAGTGTTATGATATTTAAACAATATTACACTACTAATTTTTTAATACTAACAGCCGCATTTGCAAGTATGCACTCTGATAAAATTTTAGCAATCAAGCATTATGTAGTTTTAAGTCATAATAGATATAAGCAAAATCGAAGAAGATGCCAAAATAGTAATTAATTTTTTCTTATTTTCTCTATAGAGTGCTTCACAATTATACATCACCCACTTATTGAGAAGTTGCGATAATTTTTCATAAAAAAATTTAAAAATATACAAATTATTGGTCGCAACTTCTCAATAAGTGGGTGATGTATAATTGTGAAGCACTCTATATAATTGATTCGTAAATGTAAATATTAAAAAAATAGCTGTAAATATTAATATACAGTGGTCGAAATAATTATAAATATTTAGTTAAAGAATGAATTATATTTTTATAAGAAAATAACCTAAATTAAATACTTACATTACTTTCTTTTTATTTGCTATGTGCTTCGTTAATGTAAATACTAAAAAAAAAATTGCGAAAATAATAGATACTTACATACGTCACTTTCTTTTTATTTGCTGTGCTTTTTATGTGTTGAACTACTAATTAATGCAACTCTGCAAACCAATAGTGCATTTCACTCAATTTCTCATGTACAGAATTATGTATACAATGAACTTAACAATAACTAAATCATAGCTGTAAAGATCAAACCATTTTTGTCACAGGGAGTTGAAATAAAGAATTTAACCAGAACGGTCACGCGTTTTAACTCCGCTGCGTTAGTAGATCCGAACATAGGTTATGGGCCCAGGTAGTGAAACCTGGTGTTTAATTCGTGAAAATTAAAATATAAAATAAATTGTAAAGACAAAGTGTTACATTATTTTATTAAATCGGTTTGTTTGCTTATCCGGTGTTAAAAGCAAGTGCGCGGTACAATGGCGAACGCGTTGGCAAATATTGAAAAGTTATGTGGAGATAACTATACTACGTGGTGCATCCAAATAAAAAGCTTGCTAATCACATTAGATTTGTGGTCTGCTGTGGTGGACGATCCTCCAGTAGCAGAGGAAGCAAAAGCAGCGTGGTTAATAAATGACAGAAAAGCTCTTGCACATATAACGTTGAGCTGTAAGCCAAGTGAGCTTATACACATAAAAAATTGCGTTACCGCAAAAAGTGCTTGGGACGTTTTTAGCGGTCTTTACAAGTCAGACACGGCATGTCGAAAAGTTAATTTGTTTAAAAAATTAATTCGATTTAAATTTTCAAGTAACGGGAAATTTTCAGTTCAATTAAAAGAATTTTCTTGTATAATTGACGACTTGAAAGAAGTTGGTATAACGATGGAAGACGATTTCTTATCCATTTTGCTTTTATGTTCGCTACCCGACGAAATGGAGAATTTTGTCGTGGCAATCGAAAGTAGAGACACATTGCCAAAATTAGATAAACTCACAGCAAAAATATTAGAAGAAGAGCAAAGACATGGTGATAAGTGCAGCGGTGGAGAAATCGTTTTTTCGGCAAACGAAGTCAAGAGGCGTTACGGAGCTGGAAGCAGCAAAAATCATATAAACGGCAGCAGAGGTAGTGGCGGTGATGTTGGCATTGGCAGCGGAAAAGGTGGAAGCAGTGAAATCAGCGTAGGTGGTGGCAGAAGCGGCGGCAGCGGTAACGATAGCAGAAGCAGATACAGAAAAACCAACGATAATAGCAAGTATAGCAACGTAAAGTGTTTTCGTTGTGGGCGAAGAGGGCACATACGTTCCCAGTGCTCTTCTGCAGGCAACAACTCATTAGTAGATGAAAAAGCTTGGTCACTATTTGAAAAAGAGAGTGATTTCAGCGGTACGTGGATAATCGACAGCGGGGCAACGTCTCATATGTGTAAATACAAAAAATGTTTCATATCGCTTGTCCCTATTAAGCACAAAATTATTTTAGCTTCTGGTTCGTATATATATGCACAAGGAAAAGGCACGGTAGAAATAAAAACAAACTCTACAACAATAACATTGCGCGATGTTTGGTATGTGCCTGACCTACACTCAAATTTTTTCTCTATTAGTAAAGCAAGTGAGGGTGGTAATGTTGTGACATTTAAAGAAAATTGTGCGATAATAAAAAATAAAAACAATGAGACAATTTTAACTGCTAAGCTAGAAAGCGGAATATATGTCGCGAATGTATTAACCGGCAAACGTTCAGAAAGCGTAAATGCTATTAGTGATGAAGTGTGTAATTGGCATAGGCGGTTCGGCCATATTAATACAAATGATTTGAGCAAATTAGCAAAAACAAATATGGTGAACGGTTTGGACATTAAATTTCCTAAGAAAATTGACTGTTTTACATGTGCGGTCTGTAAAATTCACAGCAAACCCTATGCAAATTATGGTAAAGTGTATACAAAAGATGTGTTGGAGTTGGTGCATATGGACTTATGTGGGCCGATGGGTATTAACTCGGTTGGTGGCGCATCATACTTCATCACATTCATAGACGATTACTCGCGATATACAGCGGTTTATTTTCTGAAAAACAAATCCGAAGCTTTTGATATGTTTAAACTTTTTACTGCGAGTGCGGAGAAGCAGGTAGGCCGCAAAATAAAATCAATACGTAGCGACAATGGGAAAGAGTTTGTCAATTCCCGGTTCAAAAATTTTTTAAATGAAAGGGGTATTAAACATCAAACTACGGTTCCGTATAGCCCTCAACAAAACGGCGTCGCTGAAAGGGCTAACCGGACATTGGTCGAGATGGCGCGGTGTATGCTGAACGAGTCTGGTTTGCCGCAATCGTTGTGGGCAGAGGCGGTGAGTACGGCAGTATATATCCGAAATAGGTCGCCTACTAAAGTGTTAGAAGCTGAAACACCTTATGAACGGTGGAATGGGCGCAAACCATCGGTTTCGCATTTTCGAACATTTGGTTGTGATGCCGTGGCCTTACAAAAGGGTCCAAAGCAGCGCGCAAGTAAGTTTTTGCCAAAGGGGGTGAAACTAAAGTTCGTTGGTTATAATGCGTCAACGAAGGGTTATCGGTTGATCAATTTACAAACAAATCGCGTTACAATTGCGCGCGATGTTATATTTTTTGAGAAATCTTTCGAATCACACACACAAGGTGAGGAAAATCGGGAGGAAGAATTTTACGGCGAATATGAAGCAAATAAAAATGAAGAGCAGTTAATAAATGACCAAACGATTACGGAACGTGAGGAATGCAGCAAAAACGAAGAAAAGGAAGCAGAAAAAGAGCAAGAAGAAGAGAAAGATGATGAAGATACGGAATCGGATTATGAAGATTCGCCAAAAGTTAACAACAAGCGGAAGCGCGGACGACCAACAATTATACGAACTGGCAGTGTAGGAAGGCCAAGAAAGGTGTATTGCACGGGCGCTAGTGCAGAGATGTTGAGTAGTGTAATTGATAATCCTACCACGGTAAACGAGGCGCTTAATTCGACGGATGCGGAACAATG